AGCGGCAGTAGTAGTAGTAGTAGTAGTAGTAGTAGTAGTAGTAGTATAGTAGTATAGCAGTAGTAGTAGTAGTAGTAGTAGTAGTAGTAGTGGTAGTAGTAGTAGTAGTAGCAGCAGCGGCAATAGTAGTAGTAGTAGTAGTAGTAGTAGTAGTAATAGGAGTAGTAGTAGTAGCAGCGGCAGCAGCAGTAGTAGTAGTAGAAGCAGCAGCAGTAGTAGCAGTGGCAGTGGTACTGGCACTCGTAGTAGCACTCGTCGTCGCAGTAGTGGTAGTAGTAGTAGTAGTAGTAGTAGTAGTAGCAGTAGTAGTAGTAGTAGTAGTAGCAGCAGTAGTAGTAGTAGTAGTAGTAGCAGGAGCAGCAGTAGTAGTAGTAGTAGTAGCAGTAGTAGTAGTAGTAGTAGTAGTAGTAGTAGTGATAGTGGTAATAGTAGTAGTAGTAGTAGTAGTAGTAGTAGTATAGCAGCAGTAGAAGTACTAGTAGCAGCAGCAACAGCAGAAGTAGTAGAAGCTTTAGAAGCAGGATCAGTGACAGCAGCACTGCTAGTTGCATTACGGCTGCTTGACCTACTGCCAATTTTCTGCTTGTTAATTCCAAAGTGATTCAACCCCAACAAACATATGTGATACGAGCCTCTGTCCATGCCCTGCATTCCAACGTCAAGGTCCATCCATAGCCAAGCTGCTGCCTTTTCCATCTGCTCCAGCATCTTGTAAACCCTCTCAGGTTTTAGCGCACCTCAGCGGATCCGCCGTATCTGAAACCCTGTCATCTGACGAAGTGATCACGGACCGTTTTCACAGCTTCTGGATCGAACTCTTGGTACAAACTGAGGAAACATCGAGGGTTACTCCCGGGGAAGCATGCAGCACAGCCCAAAAAAAAATACAGCATCATATAGCGATTTTGGGGCACATGCATTCAGTCGAGCTCGAGCCCCTCACTCAATCAACAGACATTAGCTCCGGATGCTGATGCCAATTTGTCAACGCGTGTTGCATACATGTAAGCCGCAAGTTACACCACACGCATAGCTGTCGAACACCCTGCTGCCTAACACCTAATGAAACGCTCCTCAGCCAAGGTGCACTCTGGGATGATCAGATTCTGTCGGTTCTTCACGCCCAAAGCGAAGATGTCCTCACACCACGGCACCAGATGGATTTCGGACAGCCCACACATGGAAAGTGCGGAAGGTTGATTTTTCGATGCAGCTACAGAGGCAAGCTGTCATTTAGCTAGCAGCTAGCCTTCGCGTCCCCGACAGCAGCACTGTGCTGGACGGGGAAGGCAGCAGAGGGCGTGCACTTACATGAGCAGGGTGGGCACTCTCATCGCCGTCAAGCCCATCGTGGCTAAATTGTTAAACCGAAGCACTGGCCGACAAGAATGAATCGCTTCGGAAGCTTCGGAAGAAACCCGACAGCATCACAAGACTCCTACTGTCACAGTCACGTTGCAACAAGTCGGAGGGTGATGCCCGCCGAGACTTGGCCGACAGAGTTGGGGATCAGCCTTTCCAGAAGCCTCGCTTCGTAGGAACTCATTTCCCCCTCTAACCGGTCCTTCTTGAGGTTTTCAACGGTCTTCGTTGCCTGAGGCGGAGCGGAGACGAGGCGGAGCTCTCTGTCTCTCTGGCAAACGGCCTTCAGGATCTCCCAGGCATCGGTGTGGATCAGGTTGTGCTGCAAGCCGTGCTGGGCCACCTCACGCAAACGCAGCCGCAATCCTTTTCAATCCTTTTCCCACTCCCTCTTTCTTTCGCACTCCCTCCCTCCCCCTGTCTTTCTTTCGCAAGGGTTGTGGTGCAGACAACGCTCCCTACACCCTCTCTCTCTCTCTCCCTCTCTCTCTTTCGGGCTAGGGGAGAGAGGGGCAAGCCCCCCTTTCTCTCTCTCTCTCTCTACCAGGACAGCCCCCCCCTCTCTCTCTCTCTCTCTCTCTCTCTGTTCTGTTCTCCGGGGTACGGGGTACGGGGTGCTGGTCAGGCACCCCGCGCCGAATGGCGCGCCCCTGTTTACGGGCCTTGTGGGGGCTCAGAAAAAGACAGGGATGCTCGGTTTGTGGAAAAGACACGGCTGCAAGGTCTATGGACCCTCAAACCACTTGGAAAGCTACCAGACAATAAAACCCGAGCTTCCCCCGTCTTTGAGGTGGCTTGGGTTGTAAGCTGCTCTGTCGAGTTTGTTTTCCCCGATCTCTCTCTCTCTCTCTGCTACCAGGCCAGAGAGGGCAGGAGGTCCACCCTAACCCCCTCGCGTGCGAGCGCGCACCTGGGGTTGACGGGGTTTTGAGGAACTCCGTTGTGGGGGTTTCCCCTCAGACGGCTCGGCTGTACACGGCCGACTGTACACGGCCGACAGGAAGCGGTCTCCCACTCTCGGTGCAACAGCACTGAAGCTTACACTGCCTCCCTGTCTTTCTCTCTTCTTCTGGCAACAGCGAAGTTGCAGGGAGCCCCGGCTAAGCCTGAATTGGTCGACCACAGTAACCCTGCAGCGACTGGTCCTCTTGCTTTTGCCGTGTGGAGCACACTGCAGGACAAAAGATCACGCCCCACAGGAACATTCGAGAATAGAGCTCCGAAGCAATCCATTTCTTAGCAACTTCTTTGCAGTTTTGACACAAGCATGGGTCCACCGAGCACTTTGCAGCTCAAAGCGACCTGGCCTTTTGGAACCCCTCGTGCGCGTCGCGCACGTCGTTGCCATCAACACCTCGGAAGCTGCGAATAGGCCAGGCCGGGGCGGTTTTTGGGGCGGTCCGTGCTCGGTGCCCTGCACACAACGTTGCCAGGCGTGTCGAAAATACGCTTGGCGACCTGATCCGAAAGCAAAGATGTCTGATCCACATGGCACTACACGGTGGTCGTGCTCTACAGCAGAGAATCGCAGACATTCAAGATCTTGCGCACACTGCTGGTGCTGCAACCCCTATGTTCTCCCAGCACGGAGCTTGCAAGAAGCTCGTCACGGGGCGATTGTGGACTCAAACCTCATGTCTTCTTCCCACAAAGCCTCCCGACAAGACAGCTTCTTCCCGACATCATGATCGGAAACCAGGTTCCGAGGGCTCGGCTTTGATCACAGCAAACGTCCGTGCAATGCATCAGCTTCAAAGCATGTTCACTGCTTGGCCCCTAATGGCCCTGATGCGCCTCCATGCTCAGGGTTGATTTCCCGACGGATGGAGGGCCGAAGACCACAAGTGCCTGGCAACAGATTCCACTAACGAGAAACCCGTAGATGCCTATTGGACTCACTTAGAGCGAAAGCGCTGCTTGTACCAGCAACCTGCAACAAGCAGTGGCACTTTGGCCGCCATCCCATCGCCATCCCACCTTGGGTCTCTGAGGCGGCTGGATGTGGTTGGCGGAATACACACCAACCTGGCGGGTAACATCTGAAATGTCAGTCTTGGAATTTACGATGTTTGGATCTTTGGGCGCTCTCGCAACTCGAAGACTTCGCTTCCGAATGTGCCTTCGTAAAGATTACTGATCTCTGCTCCTCTGTGAAGGGCTTGCTCCTAAGTGCACGAGAGTCTGCGGAGAAAAAGGCGCTCTGACCGTCGGTTTTCCCGACAATGCGGCCCAGCTTCAGCAATGGCTCCAGATCGGGTGGAATCTGCTGGCTGACAAGGCCTGGGCAGCTGTAACATCTGTGGCTCAAGCCACATGGGCGAGTAGTCATGCGCCCGCTGGCAAAGCCACATGTTGCTGCCTGCCCAAGGAACCCAGCAACTCCCACGGGTTCCGACGGGGACGGGCCAAACAAAGTGAGCTAAATGTCCAGAGCCAGAGCTACTCCGCTGCCACGGCGAGTCACAGAACCTTTGGCTCTCCTTTCCTCGTCCGACGACGATGACATCGTCGCCGGCCTTCAGGTGCCAACCCTACAGAAGTACTGTACAGCACTTCAACGTAAGTGCCTTTGCAAAGCACCTGCCCACAACTGTCCTATCTCGTCTGCCCATCAAGCACAAGCACCCCGCCTGGCCGTGCTTAGACATGCTTGACATGTGCCCGGCACATTGAGTCATGCGGACAGGCGCGGGAGCCAAATCCGCTGCAGGCAGACAGCGCAGGAATTGCAAGCATAGTGTTGCAACTGGCGGTTTCAACACGACTTGCTGTGGCGAAGAAATTGAATTGGGCTCGAGGTACCCGGACTGGCGCGACATGAAAGATGACATGAGAGTCCTACACAGGTTGAGAGTCACATCTAGGGTGCCACGATCGTCCTGGCACCAAAGCAAGTGCTGCAAAATCATGCAAAATCTCAGGGAATGATCCCGGAATGACGACCAAGATGAGCAAGCAAAAGTTGACCAATGTTGGACCGAATTGCTCGCAAGCGCAGTGCTGCAATTGCACAATCTGTTCTGCTCACTTCAGGAATCTGATCAAAAGGCCTCCTCTGGGACAAATGTCCGGACGTGTCGCAGAAATTGCAGCACATCGACGATTTTCTCCTGCACAGAAGGGTTTCGCGCCTGAACACGTACTGCACCACGAAGAGGGCTGAGGACTGCAGGGGAGGCAAGGCGAGGACCAAATCTTACGCCAATACTGAGCTGCGGAGAGCTGGCAATAGGTCATGCAAGGGAAACGCCCCGCCCAAGAACTGGTAAAAGCCCCCGGGCTCAAATTGAGAGGTAACGTCCGCAGGAGCCTAGGTAAACCCTCGGACCTCTCCTCGTCACAGGCACAGCGATCCAGGATCTTGAAGCCTGCAAATCCGTGTCAGCTATGGGAGAAGCTAGGCGATCCTGTGCCGAGGAAAACTGCCGTGCGTTAGCTGAAAGTGAAGCCGAGTCCATGTGCACATGCAGCGCTCCAACTATCCAGGAACTGAGCTTTGCTGTGCTTGTCTCTGGACTGGACATTCCCTTCCGTGAGCGGGCTACTGTACGTTGACAAATACTCCCGCCTCAACGTTTAGGTAGTCCTGCATGGCTGAAGCCGCACAAGGACTTCACTGCGAGCGAGTGGCTTTGCGGCAGCGCTGGTGACCGGACGATGAGGCGCGCCTGGAGCTTGAGGGGCAGCCCTTGTGGACGTCTCAGAATGAGAAGTCCACCTCGGACCCAGAGGCTGCGCCTGCTCTTCACTTCGCCGCGCCAGCTGCCCCAAGGCAGAGAGGGCAGAGACCTCCAGCCTAAGCGCTCGAAACTGCACTCCGTTACGGCATCCTGCTGTGCTACGTCCAGAGATGTCAGATGCACTAACAGGGACTCAGAGATCCAGAGCATACGGCCGCGAAGAAACAACACCAAAGGAGAAGCCCGAACCATCAACCTCGACGAGGCATGCGATGTATCGAAACCCATGGTCGTAAAATGGCACACCGAGCCCTCGAACACCCAACTGGGTTGAAGCCAACACCAATAAAGACTTTCAGAACTGCCGAGCTCTGTGCGGTGTGGCGCTGCAGAAAGCCTCCGCACGAGAAACAACTGCCAAGGCTCAAGTACGTACAAAACCGCTGATGTTCGTCCTCTATGCTGGTGGTGTAGAGCTGGCCGAAATAAATCAGTTGAATACTAATCATGCGAACTTGCGACGAAAAGGCATGCAGACCGGAAGGCAGGAAGTGCTCCGAGCCTGTGGAAGTTTAGAAACCTGAAGATCAAAGCCCTCCTGACTCATGACTTCGTGGCTCCTTGGGCTCCGCTTCGGCTCGAAGGCTTGGACCCGCGCCGTGCCTCTTCAGAGCCGGGTGGCAGCATCGCCAGAAGCGCCTGCCGTGCGGCATCTGGCTTCTCGCGACCTGAGGCCGGACGGTTCGCAGGCACGCCAAAGCTCCGCAGTGCTCCAAACGGCCAGCTTGGGCAGCTGCAGGCCCACACAGGCTTGAAGAGGGGAGGAGCTGCCAGTCGAAACCGGTCGGTGTCCTGGGAGCGGGTCAATGGTCAATGGCTTCAGATCCGACTCAACTCCGAAGAGCACTGACTCGTGGGAAGAGTTCAGAAACTCAGGGGGTTCAATGGTCAAAATACCAGCGGGAGCACAGAGGAACTCCGCTGCAACCCGTGGGCCTCCTCGGTCATGAGAGCTTCGAGGAGCCGAACCTGTCGAAGGTCTGATGCTCTCGTGTGTAATGCTATCGTTGTCTTGAGTCTTTGAGCGGTACCCACGAGGACAGGTCACATCTCAGGGCACTGCCAAACCCTGCTGCTTCTTCCACAGTGTCCCAGGCTCTGGTAGGCGTCATGGCCCGGCAGAGGTAACGGAAGGGAGAACACTTAGCTCCAGCAGCAAAGCAAACCAAACGCGTGGGCAAGCTGGCACTCCGGCAACCGAAAAAACAAACATCATCGGGCACACTGGCGCTCCAGCGGCAAAGCGACAGCAAAGCACCGGCAAAGCACGCAGAATTCGGCCAGAATGAAACTCGTTTTCTTGAGGAGCCGGTTCAGGTTTGGTGTGCAGGACATCGTGACAATAAACAAGCGCACTCTTGCAAGACCAAATTGCGGTGAATCTAAGACTGGGCCACTTGACGTCGCTGTACCCTGGAACATCGGCCACAACTCCACCGGCAAACAGGCCTGGTTTGGACATCAGGTTTAATTCTGTCAGGGTGTCTCAGGGTCAAGCCCCGAATGCTGTAAAGACCACGTGTTCAACTCAAATAATGAGTAAATCCGAAGCTCAAACTCCCAAATTCCAGTGTAAAGCCCACAGTGACTGAACCGCACAAGCCTGCCATATTCGCAAAGAAAGCAAAGCACGACAGAAGCCGATGCACCGGCCGCAAGCAGCAGTGAAGCAACTGCAATGCTGGGTATCCAGCTCACCAGGGCATAATGACGCTCCAACATGGCCCCGGTGCGGTGCGGGTTGGTGTCTCACTGGCCACCAGTAGTCACACGCCAACAAATACGTGTGGCCAGACTCAACTCGGGGGTTTTGACTTTCAAATGGCAAGTGTTCATCGTTCGACTGTGATCGAGATGTTCTCGTACCACAACTGCTGTTGCTGGTGTTATCACTCAAAGTGTTGAATTGGTGCCGTCCTTGCCATAGTGTTCTTCTGCTGACTACTCCTGCAAGCGGAAAGTTAGCAGAACCCTTGCACGTTTTAACAAATAGTAGCAACACCTGGCCACAACATCCCCCTCCCTCCCCGTGTGCTTCCGCGAAAGACATCCCGACCAACCTGTTACAGGTACTCACACAGACATTTCAAGGAGTGCAGAAAGGCACGTTTGGGCCCAGAGTGTGTAGCCCTTCTTGCAGCTTCAAACTTGCCAGAAGGACCCCGAAAGCAGCGAAATGCCGCCAACCAGGAGCTGCAGCTGCCTCTTCAAGTTTAGGGTCAGGACCTTTTGACTTCAACTTTAGACCCTCAGCCAACTAACACAGCTTCGCAGATCAAGACAGCCGTCAAAGCAGATGACACGTGTGACTGTTTGGTGCGTTGCAACAGCACGAATGCAGCAGCTGCAAGACATGAAAGCTGCCAAAATGTGCCAGCAAGAGTGACCATCCTACAGCATTAATGACACGCATGACTCATTACTCCGACACTGCGAAACAAGTCATCACCAGTGTCAGAACGGCAGTTGTCGAACAACGACCGCCAACAAAACCATCATCATCAGAATGCACCATCGCCATCACCAACATCAGCAGCAGCAGCAGCAGCAGCAGCAGCAGACCCTAAACCCTAAACTGCAACAGCAATGGGCAAAATCGTCACCGTCTCCTGACCCCTATCCATCACGATCACCAGTAACAACAATCAAAAAAGAGCATCCTCACCATTCCACCGCATCCTCTGCTACTGTCATTTGTCACTGGGAAGCGAGCATGGTAGCAACAGCCAGCAGCCAGTGCAAGCAGGACTGCAGCACCTCCTCGCTGGAGGTCGCTAGAAGCCGCTGGCTCACCTCAAAAGCCCACAACGGCTCACGACAACGCGGCATTCAATGGCAGAGAGAACCCAGTCCAAAATGGCATTTCACCTCCCCAGTATTGCTGTGAGGTGAGCACCAAGGCTTAGCGACGAAGTCGAGTTTCGAAGTACTGCAGAGATAGATGGCCACAATTCTACGGCAGCCTGCCCAGAAAGTGTTTGAGGACTAGGCAGCTTTACTTCGCCCTGCAGATGAGGGCAATGCCACGGTTAGAAGGCGGTGACGGTGCAGGAGTGTTGTGAGCTCCTGAAAATCCGGGAGTCTACGAAGATGTTGGTGCACAACATACAAAACAACACGCTAACATGCCTGACATATCTGGAGATTTCGCCTCCACTTGACAAGACACTACGACCCAGAGGAACAAACAGTGTCCACATGAGCAAGGCTGTCAATCTTGCCATCATTCCTTTACGGCGAACTGACACATTATCACACCCGGACTCCCAATGCCGTGAATACGGTGACGACTGCCCAAAGAGCCAACAGGAGCAAACGACATCCAACGAGTATTCGGGCGCAGGGTCGCGACTCTCCGTCAAAAGCTTACGAGGCTCAAGCTCAAGCTCCAAGGCTTTGGAGTCTGAAACTCTCCAGTCCCACAATCAAATCCTCGTCGCCCCGGCAAACGAGCTCCAGAACCTGCCCATGACAGTTGGGTTGCGCTGACAGGTGCAGGGGCTACTTGGCTGTCTGGTTTGGGCAATGTCGAAACGCTACGGGACTGATTTGGGTCTGTGCCTCGACACTGGAGCGAGATGGCAGTGCTGAAGCTGGATGCTTGCCTCGCAAGCAGCCGCCTCCGCAGCACCAAATGGAGCCTCGTTGTGCAACTGAAGATCGGCTTCTAGACGGAAGTAGAGGGTAAAGAACCCCGGCAACGAAGGTTCCGAGGCTCGGATTAGCCGAACACAAAGCACAGCTCATCTTTCGCATGTGATGATGGGATGAGAGCCCGGCAGGAAATTCGAGCAGTTCGCGGAACTTTTGGAGCCTGGTACATGACATATTAAACCGCTGGCTTCGAAAGCTCACCCTGACATAGGAGACTTGCAAGACATGCCAACCCCGAAGAAAACGTCCAGACTACCAAAACGTATCACTGCCAAGAGAAAGCCCACAGCCCCGTAAGTTCCACGCCAGCGGAGCACCCCAGAGGATGCCTTAAAAATCGAGGAGAGAAGTGCTGCTCCAGTGAGCGCCAGCGACAGACTATTGCACTTTCCAATCGAACAAGCAAGAGGCAATGCGAGAAAGCGACTTCCCCAGCTCAGGGAAGCTATGCTGAAGATTCAAGGACCAGCGGGGTGGAAGGCCTCCTCGACCAAGGCATCGCGTAGGCGCTGCCGATCCTGTGCAAGTCAGTTTAACTCGGACTCCTGGTGTGTGGGAAAAAAGAGCCCGGCATCTCCCAAGTTGGTTGGGAAGTGATCGACGAAGCGACGGAAACCCCTGTAAGCCATTTTAGATTCCAGCTGTCCATGCTTGTACAGGAACACATAAGATCAGACTTTCTGAAAGGGTCCCACGGGCCCACTCTCACTTCTGAGTCTTCTGAGCACCATGCACCTTCTCTGCTTCGCAAGAGGTGGCCCAGCGCCTAAAAACGAGTCGCTTGAGGCAAGCATCGCGATCTAGGCGAAGCCAAATCCGTACTTTACTTTGCATCTCAAACTTTTTTGCACATCTTGAAAAGCGACGCGCCCGCATGGCATAACCCAACCTCGCTCGGGCCCGAGCCGCCAGCACGGGTGCCGCGGCCTGCTTTGGCTTTTTAAGAGACAGCATTTCATGCGGGATGTCGGGTCTGCGCATCTGTGCCACCTCGCCTGTTTCCAAGAAACGTGTTCTGATCGCTCAGTCGTCGCGGACTGCCTGAATGCCTGATTCAATTGAAACCTTGGCCTGCAAGCGGGAACTAACCAGCGGTCACTCCGTCCCAAACCATCCTCGCACCACGCGTCGGTCAGGCCGCCGTTGCCTTTGGCAGAAGAGGCGGTCCAGACTCTACTGTAGAGCTCCGCCCAGGGAGGTCATTGCTTCGAAAAAGGTACACGAAGCTGGGGCTGAGATGCTTCAAAACTCGGCCCCGCCCCAGAATTGGCACTCAAAGACTTCCACACGGTCGGCCCTGGATTCACGGCACTTGCGTTGAAACCTGAGGGAGCCGTCAGCAGATCAACTCTCTGGATGATCGGGGGTAGTCCAGGCTCACCAACTGATTCTACAACCACACACTGTCGACTCCCCTGTCCAGATCACTTCAGAGACAAGTTTGCCTCATGTCCATGCACCGCACCCGCAGCCTCCGATGGTTGCAAAGCATCTGCAAAGGATATGCACCTCGAGGGGACCGAAGACAGACGGGCCAAGAATACGGTAGCCCCCTCATGTCCCGTGCCTCCCTCTAGGTTGCAATTTTCCCTGGGCCCCTGCCGCATCCCTCGGCAGCGACTCTGCCTTGGCGGCCGCCTGACGTTCCAGGCCTCTGCAAGGGCTTCGGGCTTGAAAACTTCACGTGGGAACTTGATGGAACTTGCATGTTCTGCTCATCCCAACCCCAAGCGACTGCAGCATGACGGTCCGCTCAAGGGCCTTGCCTGCCGCCGCCCAGCAAATCAAGGCCGGATCTGTGGACTCCTGCCGCTGTCAAGGCCGAAAACAGGGCCTGCGGATGTCTGCGGCAGAACGTCCCTATCCCTATCCGAAAGCCACGGAGGTGAATCGATTCAATGGTCGGACTTTCCTGGAGGGTCCGCAGTTCGGACACCTCGGCTTGCGGTTTTGCCTCGGCTTGCGGCTCGGATCTTCAACACGTCTATGGCTTCAAGGCTTCTGGCCGGTGCAGTCACCTTCTGACGTCCTGTGCAGCTTTGCCGGAATCCTTTGTGGGAAACCCAAACCTACCAGGCATCCGAAGCCGGAGGCCCGCACGAGATGCGACAGGAGAGGTGAGGCCTGAGCGGCTTTTGCAGGCTCGGCAAGAAGAAGCGGCGGATCCATGAGCTGTGGCTCTGACACCCTCCAGAGCCGTGGCTTCCACCATCGCAACGCTTGAAGCAGCGGAGGGGCTTCGGCTTGGTTGGGGAGGTGGGCTTCTATTGTAAGTTACACACCGCTTCGACCCAAGAGTCTTGCGCTGTGCTGGAGCGGTCGGTGTAAAGGATCATGGTTTAGTTTGTCGGCTCCTCTGCGAAGCAGCAAACACGGACGGCAGCAACTTCTCGTCAGCCCTTCGACTAAACCTACCAAGCCCATCGATCTCAAGCTGAGCTTCGCAGGTCGAATCAACTTCCCACACGGAGGACAGAGGGCAGGGAGGGTACCGGAGCCCGGCGTCCAACGCCTGGAAATCCGAAAAGCGCCGCTTGATGACCCACGAGTACCTCGGGGTGCACACAGCGCCGAAGGCGTTGAATCTTGCAGGGATGCGACAGAAAACCAGATGAAGCAGCAACGGACCAAAGGGCACTCCTTGCCCCCGCTGTACCGGTCTGCCTTCTGCCGGCGCTCATGGCAGAGTACCTCTTCTGGTCCGACAGTTCAAGATGGAGAGGCATGACATGTGGCTCTCACGGGATACTCGAAAGACGGCGCCTGAGCACATCCGAGGCGCCGCTATCTAGCCCGTTCAAGCTTGAGGAGCGTGGGGGCTGGGATTTCGCTCACACTTTCCTCCGAGAAATCAGAGGGGGCCTTGAAGTGGAAAAAGGCCACATAAGTGAAAAGCCTGCAGCTCGGCTTGGACTGGTCGAGGGCTTCCCCCCGTAAGCGAAGATCTCGAGTGCAGAAGCCGACAGTGCGAGGGCCGGGCGAAAGAGGATCTCTCTCCACACTGGCCTCCTGTTGCAAAGGGCGGAGCAACGTTACGATTGCGGCGCTCTCGCGGGAAGCGAAGTGAAACTTTCACGTCGCCTGTGCCTAGAGCCTAGGGTTGATGGCAGGGAAGACCCCAACAAACAAGCCAAGAGCTGCCGAAGGCCTACGCGAACCCGCGTGTCATCCAGCATCCAGCATGAAAGTATCCGCAGCACCTGGCCTGGGGCAAAATAGAGAACTGCCACGTGGGAAGACTTCCTCAGCTTCCAGAGCTCAAGTTGACTTTGGGGCTTCTTGCGGGCTGACCCATCAGCTACATCCAAGCTTAGAAAAGTTCCTTTGCCGGACTGTTCTGCAAAGAGGTGGGCGGCCGGACTAGCAACGCTCTCAACACCCTGAGTCAACCCGAGACTGCTTCAGTCTGATGTTGGAGGCCCAGGCGGAATCGGTCTTGCCGCTCTCTCCACCTCCCAGCAACGATGCTGACTTCAGGCCCTTACCCTAAACAACAAGCGCAAAGCCAAAACACAGAGATCTTGAGCATCGCCTACAGTACAGCTACTGTACAAGAGACGATTGCCAAAGAAATGGGACTACGCCGGCCAGGCAACACACAGAACGCTCAGAACTGGAGGGTTTACCCAAGGAGCGGCCATTGCTTATGAGCCTGCATCTCCAGCCAGAAAACCGCGTGCAAGCCGCCTAACACCCCTGGGATCAGAACAGTAGCGGGGGGGTGCTTCACATGGTCACAACAGCACACCTGTAAGGGCCTTATTCCAGTGGAGTTTAGCGGTGTGGCAACCCACCCCGCTAAGCCCCACCCTGTTGTGACAATGTGGCCTCATTGCAAAAAATGCTAGCTCGCAGTAGCGGAGTGCGGTTCGCCTGACCCTGGGGACTGGGAAACCTTAAATGTTAAGCGAAAGTTCAAGGAAGAGTTCCCGTGCTAGCAGGCCGCAGTGCTTATGCAGCAAATCCATTGTACATGAGCAGGCGAGTGATGCCAGGGGCAGGAAACTTTTAGGAGATTCGCCCGACGATGTCAAAGCTTTCAATCCCTGCCTTGGTGCAGCCATCTTCCTCGGAGCGATGCGAGCGAGAATCTGGAAAGGCACGACTTGGCACCTCGGCACCTCTGAGCCCAGTCTGAGGCTCGGGCTCTCGAAATGGCGTAACCTGTACCAGAGAGCACCCTGTAGTATCCTCAAAAGAGAACTTAACTGCACGAGAGAAGCTAGGTCTAGTAGAAGTACGTTGACATTGCGTAGAAGATCAGTCTACACAAGATCGGCAGAGGCTTTCCCATGCCTCTTTCATGTCAGGGTGCACTCTAACGGCTGCAGGGAGACAACAGTTGCAAGTCTCGGCAGACCCTCGCGCTCGTGGCAGCAGGTCATCAGCACATCAAGTGCGCACCACAACCCTGGAAGACCACGATCCAAACCGCAGAATGCAGATGCACAAGCTCAAAGATGCAGGACTTAGGCATTGACAATTCTACATGCTTGAGCTCCGAGTACTCATAACCTTGACTTCCACAACCCGAGCATTCATGCCCTTGCACTTTTTGCCATCCGCAGAAGCCCGGGCACTAAGAAACGAAATCGAACCTGGGCGGAGGCCCTATGTTGACCGGAAGCCTAGGAAACAGATCTCCAGCAGCACCGCAGCAGGGGATTATTGTTGTGAATAAGATGCTTCAGGCTCTGGCACTCGGCAAGCTTGCAAGCCGAAGGTTTATGTTTGAAATGCACGGTTCCTTCGACATCTGGCATACCTGGTTTTAGCAAGCTTTGGTCGAGACCCACGTCAGCACAATCTTTCCGATGCACGAAACGCTCATTGGCCAATTTCGTCGACAGCAGCATATTCAGCCTAAGTCATGTGGGACTTGCTCTAGAAGATCTCTTGACCATGTTTAGAGACCTTCTGTGACCTTCGTTTCGATGCACTGCAATAGTGGTCCTTTTGACTACTCCAAAAGCCACACAACACGTTTCCTTCAACAAGACCAACTGAGAAAATGTGAGGCGGAGGCTACTCAGAGCTCGTGTCCCAAGTTTCGCACCCACAATCTACGACCGAATCCTTCAGCCTGAGTGGCCCATTTTGCAAGACCCGCCTTCGATGGGGCCGACATTAGATTTGCTCAACATGGAAGCACAATGACAAAGACTCGTAAACTCACCGACCTGATATGTCTCAAACAGAGCTGGAGGATACATAAACTAAGCCGTGGTTTCGCAGAGCCACCTCACGGTCCTCATCATCACGCTGCCTGGCCCAAGCCTCCGCCTGTATGACATCGGAGGGATATTAGTGATACAACTTCGGTTCGGCCGAGGTTGCAGCCACAGTGTCGGTCGGGGGCGGGGATGGGTATTGGTGCTGCTGCTGGAGGTGGTGGAGGTAGTAGTAGTAGTAGTAGTAGTAGTAGTTGTTGTTGTTGTTGTTGTTGTTGTTGTTGTTGTTGTAGTGGTTGTTGTTGTTGTGCAGTAGTAGCAGGAGCAGCAGTAGTAGAAGAAGCAGTGGTAGTAGTAGTAGTAGTAGTAGTAGTAGTAGTAGGAGCAGTAGCAGTAGTAGCAGTAGCAGCAGTAGTAGCAGTAGTAGCAGTAGTAGCACTAGTAGTAGCAGTAGTAGTAGCAGTAGTAGTAGTAGTAGTAGTAGTAGTAGTGGTAGTAGTAGTAGTAGTAGTAGTGGTAGTAGTAGTAGGAGCAGCAGGAGTAGCAGGAGCAGCAGCAGAAGCAGTAGCAATAGCAGTAGCAGTCCTCCTCATCGCTCCTCCTCCTCCTCTTCTTGCTCCTCCTCATCCGCCTCCTCCTTCTCCTCGCTGTCGCGACTTCTGTCCATGTACAAGGCGTGCCCGCCCGAATTTGCTCTCGGCCTCAAGACCATGCTCTGAACCCGCGAGATCGGCAACATTCCAAACTGCCCACGACGCTACATTCTGCTTGCATCCCTTCAGGCAAACCAGGCTGTCTCCTAGCTCCTTGCATGGCAGCTCGTTTTGCAGGGTTTGCGAGTGCCTCCTTCCACTTCGCGGCTGCCACTGCGGCTTCAGGCTGAGCCAGCTTGGTACAAACCTTGACTTCTCGACTGGTTGGCCCCCAGGCTTTCACATGTCCAGCATCTGGAACGAGGACAACAAGACTGCAAGACTCAAATCAGATCTCAGCGCCGTCAACCAATATCGGATACACCGGCTTTTCGATCTGTTGGTCCATGAACCAGACAAGAAAGAGCGCCCCTGAGCCGGCAACGAAGATGAAGTAGCCACCCATGTCCGGTGTCTTGGCAATGTTGAAGCCCAGGTGAGGCAGCGTGAGGACCGGAATCCGCCAGGTGTCAGGATCACCTGCGGACTTCCGCAGCAGAGCTTCGTGAATCAAAGTCTTGTCTGGATACCTGTCTTGGTTTTAAGTTGAGCACAAGCTGTAGAGCCTAGGTTTGCAGCAGAGGCTGTTGCTTGTGAAATCCGGCAGCTTTTTGCCAGCACTTCCTGACCTTCGGGATGCGAGCTGAAACATCCTCAGCCCTCCGTGCACGGGCTGAAACCTCGACCATGGGTGATGAGGAAGTAGATGCCACCCTCCTGCCATGGGCGCTTCAAGAGCTCGCTAGCGACAGCTCGGCCATGGTTGCCATAATAGGCTGAAAAGTTGCGAATCGAGGATTGACACCTTCGGATCATGTCTAGGCTGTCATACTTTCATGTCAATGCAAGACGAAGCTGGAACCCTGCATGCCAGAAGTGAAGGCGCCTTGAGGACGCGTTGCACCTCTTTCAGCATCCTTCGGCATTGCAGCGAGTGCAACACGCAGCAGGCACAAAAGGCGGACTTCTGAGTGCAGCAGTGGAACTTCCCAAGCCATCCTATCACAAATCCATGCCCGGCAAGCATCAGCAGAGCGGCAGAAAGCACGGAATCGAGACAAACGCGCCTCACAAGCCTTGAACCCATCCTCCATAGCAAACTCGGTGTATGCCACAGAGCACTTCGAAAAAACTCTCAGATCTGCGGGTCTGCGCCTTGCAGCTGACAAGAAAGGCTCGGATTGGATGAGCACCGCATCGAGCGTGCCCTGAAAGAGGCTGAAGCGAGCACCAGGCTTTTTGCTATCAAAGATCTAACGGAGGGGGCAAAATCAAGCACATTTCTCATGGAAACTCTGTCCGGCTATAGAATGCACACTTCAGAATGCACACTTCAGAAACGCAGGGAACCACGTCCAGCGCAAGTGATTGCAGGGCTCATCTCTAAACCCTAGCGGGTCTAAAGATGGATCACCATGCCTGACATGCCTCCTTGAAACCCGCGTTCTTCTTTCCCGGACCTTGTCTACAACTATGTCCACAGACTCGTCTGGCAGAGTCATGTTGGTGACATCGTCCACGAACCTTTGCGACAAGGACGGAGGAATGTGAGATCCACGGTGGGGTGAGTCACCGTGCTGCCACATCCTCCGCGCCGAGGCGCCATTTTGCCAAGGGCATCTCCGCTGCGGTTTTCTCCTGCATCTCGGAGATGGCATGCCTCAGCATGGAAGCCATTTGAAGCCTATCCGATCTATCCTCAACACGTCTGCCGATCAAACAGTTCAACAAGCACACTGCCCGGGTGAACCTCCTTCCCGAACACCTTCCCAACCATGCAGCTGGCAAGTGGCTGAGAGATGTCTGAGCTCAGCAAGTTCGTGTATCCATCCTCTGATGGGGGATGCCGGCCAGAACACTGCCCAGGAGAGTTCGTGACTTTGCCGGATCGGCTGCTGAGCATTTCTGAATACTCTGGCAAGCGGCTTTGTAGATGTCGGGACTCAGCTGGTCGATTCCACATCCTGCCAAGTTCCCAGGGCCGAGACCATCCTACTCCCAAAGTCTGCGCCACGAGCTGTCCCTGGACCTGCAACCCCCAAGCCGAAGCCCTGTACCAGGAAGGCCTATGTTCAAGATCACTTTGCTGCGATCCCCGCCGGTGATCGCATTCAGGGTCTCCTGCGGCCAGCACGGCAAGTAAGCCAGCCATTGGAGTTGGAGCCTCCGATCCCTCGGGAAACCAAAAGAAACCTTCAACCCACTGGGGGGGAAGTCCGCTTCGTTCTCGGACCTGTCCTGCCCCGCTGGTTACAATGTGTCTCAGTTGTTGGGCTGTCGATGACCAACTCAACTCGAAATTCAGCTGGCTCCTGAACCGGGCCAGCATACGTGCACAGCCATCCAACTCCTCTGTCATCGATGATGTCGCTGTGCACACCTCCGTGGCCACTGCCAAACCCGGCAATCCCCTCGATTCAAGCTCAAGATTCAACTCGTGTAGTCGGCGGTTGTCGAACAAGACAGGATGCAACGGCTCGAAACAGGCTCGGCTGTGGCAACATCGGGGACAGGTAATGAACCATCTTACACCGATCTACCATGTGCTCTGGTGGAAATATTATCCGGTTGCAAGGGCATCGCTCTCTGGCCACGAAGCTCCCAGAAAGCCGCGGCTTAGCACAAACCCTAAGAAGATCTTCGTCAAGGGGCCTACAAGACCAACAGCTCGTCCTGCATCAAACATGAAATGAAGCACACTGGATCCCGAACTTCCTGGAACGGGTCGGAGTCTTCCAAAACAAGATCCATTCTTCTGACGGACGGCTGTGGCTTCGTCTCTCTGTCTCTGTCAACTACACGATAGCGGACGATCATTAAGTCATGATCTCCGACCAGGCAACGCAACGTCTCAAGGTTCGAGTTGCTCCGAAAGGAAAAAATTCGGAAATTCGGACCCAACTCTGCAGATTCTCTCTCTGCCTTTGTCCCCGGTGCTGTACCGGCGCTCCCAGTACTCCTCGCGCACAGATCAGAGCGGAAAGGAGCAAAGGCTTCGAGGAAACGACCTTTCATGCTTTATACAGGCAACAAAACATCTCAAGATCAATACCTCCGATGCCCAACTGCTCTCCAGTTCTTTGTCCCGCACATGAGGATGTCAGAGGAGCTCTTTGGGCATCAATCATCTAAACGGGGGTCCCATCTGTGTCGGTGCCCTGCCCAGTGCTGGTCAAGGTCGGACTGGCAGCCGATCGACGATGAGTGAATGCACGTGATACTAAGTGCCTGCACAAACTCCAGAGTACCTTGTCTGCATGTCTACAAGATGATACCACACAGAAATGGGGCCATTCTACAGCTACAGTCGTCATACCCGGAAGCCTAACCCAGCAAACTGGAAAATCAGAGCAGAAGAAACTACCATGTATTCCTTGTTCTGGTAGGACAACATTGGGTCTGCAGCTTCTTGCACTCGTCGCGGAATCCTGTGGGCAGGAGTGGTGGCCGTATATGTTTGCTCGAGACAGAACATGATCAAAGGTCAAACGATTGCTCAGTCCTGCTAACGCTCTTGGGTACTATAAAGCTGTTTGGCCGCGTCAATGTGGACAGTGCCAGGCCTTGCTGCATCAGTTGGAAATACAACACTACCGATACCCTGCCCGAGGTTCAGTGGATTCAATGGTGGAAAGTGTCCCTTTCGGGGGCTGAAAAAGCTAGATGCTAATAGAACGGCTGTGATGCGTAACGAAGAAGTTGAGGGAAGGGTCCAAATATGGCACTCGGAGTTGTGCAAGTCATATACCGGATTTCGACGTACGGCATTACGTGGCAGCTGCTTCCAGCTGCTGGAAGTGTCAGCCAAAGAGTTTCAACATGGGCCGGCTCAGTCATAAAACATCGTGGCGTCTAAAGCTGCAATAAGTTTTGCAGGTGAAACCTTTTAATCTGAAACTGTTCCAACGCGACAACCCCGATGCATGCTTGGGTCGCAGGCTAAGGCTTTCCTAAGTCGGAGACCCAACCAAAGCACGTTGGTCAAGCTGCGCCGTGCGCAAGACATGGCGCACACCCTACGGCTCAATGAACAAAACGACCGCTCTGAAACGTGGCCACCACCACATCGGATGTTCAATGCCTATTGGCCGAGTACGGTCGATGTTGCGGCTGCTGCTGTGGCTGTGCCCGCAACGACGAGGCCAAGTCCTCATCCTTGTCATGGTCCTGGTCGAAATCGTAGTCCTGCTCTTACTCCTACTCGTACCCCTACTATTACTCCTGCTGCTGCTGCTGCTGCTGCTGCTCTGCTACTGCTGCTGCTACTGCAACTGCTACTACTACCACTACCATTACCATTACCACTACCACTACCACTACTACTACTGCTACTACCACAACTGCTACTACTACCACTACTACTGCTGCT